TTAGATAAACTACAGGTGTGGTCAGAAAATGGCAAATGAAATTCAACACCAGCAAGTGCAGCATACTTAATATTGGAAGAACAAATACTCTCAATGTATACAGCTTTAACAACATCAACCTAAGAAGTCGACTTGTGAAAGAGACTTAGGGGTACTTGTAAGCCCGGACCTACGGCCTAGAAAACAGTGCGTTAATGTTCGTAATAAGGCAAACAGAGTATTAGGTTTTAAATCTAGAAGTGTAAGTAATAAGACTGCGGAAGTCATATTGCAACTATATCTTGCTCAAGTCAGGCCGCACTTCAATTATGCTGTTCAGTTCTGATGTCCTTATTATAGAATGGATATCAATTCACTAGAGTCGGTACAGCAAAGAATGACGAAAATGATTCCGGGACTTAGAAATCTTCCATATCAAGATAGATTAAGGTAACTGAACTTGCATTCCCTAGAAAGACGAAGAGTGCGGGGAGATAGGATAGAAGTATTTAAGTGGATGAAAGGAATTAATATAGGAGATATAGAAAAAGTTCTTATAATATCTGAGCAGGATAGGACTCGTAGCAACGGATTTAAGTTGGATAAGTTTAGATTTAGGAGGGAGATAGGAAGGAACTGGATCACAAATAGGGTGGTAGATGAGTGGAACAAGCTTAGCAACTTTGTAGTAACTGCGGGAACGCTGGAAGTTTCAAAGGAGGCTAGGTAGATTCATGGACGATAGAGAGTGGTAGTAACTCGGCAGAAGCTGCCATGCATAGGCCAACCGGGCTATTGCAGACTCCTTATTTTCTTACGATCTTATATTCGTTGTAAAGGAGATTGAGATTAAGTCCCTAGTGACAGCAGGTGTCCACCATATTCAGGTCATAAGGTAGAGTGACCCAACCCTTTCACCAAGTTACAAATCTCCTTAATCATAAAATTGTCCTATTTGTACATGCCATTACTCAAATTCATGTTGACACATTCGATAATTTAATGAGACTAGATTCTATAATGTTCATACTGACTATTGAATTACAAAGTAATATTGAAAAGGCATTATCCTAGTCACTGCAATGCTTATTATCTCTCATATGAATGAATAGAGCCTTGGATTCCTGGCCTGTCCTAATTCTATATTTATGTTGTTTAAGTCTTTTCTCGTCTGGTCTAAGTATTACATTCGTTGCAAGGAACCTTGTAAATGCAGCCACCTGCATTGCTGGGGGAGTTCTTAATTAACATTTGCTTTACAGTGCATGATTTACTAAATGTCACATATACGTTCCAGGTTTTCAGTTGTAGAGGAATTTGAGAGAAATTTTTCTTAAAAGGTAATACTAAGAGATTCTTATTGTCATGGGGAGGTTTAGGATCAGTTCTATAAGACGATTTCTTAGCGGTGTTGAGGCATTTATCTATAAAAGAACTAGGGAGGCTCCACATTGTCTCACTGTCCAGTCCCCAAAACTTCTTCTTCCATCAATAGTTCATTAACGGTGTATGTAAGTTCCACCATGTTTTTCACTACAACGGTACAGCAAAGTAAATTTTTTAGCTTTAAACTGTTATTATTTTATTGTCTAATCATCACGTACATATAACACCACCCATCATCACTACATATAATAATATCCATCATCACTACATATAACATCATCCATCATCACTACATATAATAATATCCATCATCACTACATATAACACCATCCATCATCACTTCATATAACACCATACATCATCACTTCATATAATACCATCCATCATCACTACATATAACACCATCCATCATCACTACATATAACACCATACATCATCACTTCATATAATACCATCCATCATCACTACATATAACACCATCCATCATCACTACATATAACACCATCCATCATCACTACATATAAAACCACCCATCATCACTACATATAACAACAACCATCATCACTACATATAACACCATACATCATCACTTCATATAATACCATCCATCATCACTACATATAACACCATCCATCATCATCACTACATATAACACCATCCATCATCATCACTACATATAACACCATCCATCATCACTATAGATCGGTAAAGTAGTTTATGAGATTCTCGTGCGGACACACACACACAAACACACAAACAAAATCACAGACATACTTCTTTGTTTTATATATATATATATATATATATACGCTAGGCCACGGTAGGACCCCACCTTCCGGGTGGCTCCACATTGTCTCACTGTAGTGCATTATGGTAGACCACATTTTTGGTTTTGCCATTAGCAGCAAGTATGTACAGATTTTTGCCAGTTCCCACTCTGGAGCATTCAACATAGAACTGTCCATGAGAGAAGCAAGGAAATACCAGGTTTAGGCCAACCATCTATAGGGACTGTCCCTGGCTTTTGTAGATGGCCATGGCAAAGCTCACTTTAACCGGGAACTGAAGTCGCTTGAACTCAAATGGCAGGTCAGTGGTGATGAGAGGTATCCTTAAGCTTTTCCTGTCAGTATTGTAGCTTCCAGTACATGTGGCATCATGTTCTTTACCATCAGTCTTGTGCCATTGCAGAGGATTGGTGGTTCAAGATTTCTTAAGAGCATTATAGGAGTTCCAATCTTGAGAGTAAGGTGGTGAGGAGGCATTCCATCGGGCTCCAAGGAATTAAGGAATTCTGCAGGGTACTGGACTGCTTGGTCCTGGTCGATTACTGTATCAACAGATTTGAATGAGGTCTCACTGCCTGGAAGCTGTCTGAGTAGAGACATGTTTATTTCAGCCACTGTTTCATTCTTTGGTGCCAGAATTGCGTGTTCACGCAGCCACTTGTGATCCTTGTAGTGGTGGATAATGTTTGGGTAGACCATGTTAGTGAGTACAGTTGAGGACTTTATAACATTTCCACATCCTTGAGGAATGATTATTTATCCTTCTGAATCAACAGGGAAAGTTCCATTCCCAACCTGTAGTAGAAGGTTTGCAAATCCGTCCAGCATCCTTATCTCCTTGTAGATGTACTCTCATGTTTGTGGATAGGGTGAGTGTCTGAACACTTCTCCAAAGGTATGATGCCCTAAGGCACACATTCAGTTCATCAGCTGGAGCGCTTCGAGGAATGAGAGGTAGGGTCTGGCGAAAGTCTCCAGCAATGACCATTGTAATGCCACCCATGAGCTGGTCATTTTCTCGTATGTCTTGCAAGGTCCTGTCCAATGCTTCAAACGCTAACTTGTGAGACATAGTGCATTCATCCCAGACTATCAGGCTACATTTTTTCTAAGAGTTTTGCCTTTGCCGATCCCTTATTGATGTTGCACACTGGATTCTCATTGTGAGCGAGGTTGAGAGGCAGTTTAAAAGTTGAATGTGCAGTACGTCCTCCTTCTAGTAGTGCTGCAGCAATGCCTGAGGATGCCACAGCAAGAGCAATTTTCCCCTGATGACGTACTTTGGCCAACAGAAGGTTGATCAAGAATGTTTTTCCTGTCCCGCCAGGTACATCAAGAAAGATCATACCTCCCTGCTCCGTCTGTATCGCTTGCAAGATCTATTCATGAGCCTAACCAGGTGAGGCTAATTTTCTTCAACAAAATTCACCAGAACTTCAACTGAGTAGTCTGTCTCTCTGAGCAACTCCCTGTTTACAGCTACTGGTACTTCTCGGTTTGGGGAAGGCAATCCAGAATCAGTTAGGTTTTTTCCGCATAGCTCCATCACTTTGTCTTCCAGCATGATCAGAGCCCTGTTGAACATGTCATCCATGAACTCAATCTCTTGACCAGGATGTTCTCTTTTTGCTTGATGAAGCAGATCCTCTAAAAGACTTTCTTGGTGGTTTTTCCAGAGCTGACTTGGGTTGGAAAGTCCACATGTAGCAATCATGATGGCAAACAGGTTCCTCATTCTCATTGGCGATTGAGTAGCTGCTGCCTCTTCTAATGTGTCATTCCAGTGACCATCATCTTCCAGTAGGCCAAGGAGATTGCACGCTTCCTGATAGGTTCTGCAGACTTGTCCATTCACTGTCTTGAGTGCTGCATATGATGTTGGGCCACGGATGTGGTGCAAAAGTAGTCTCAAACAATAGCATTCAAAGTTGTTGGGGTGAACCGTGCAGACACGTCCCAAAGCATTGCCTGACTTTATCCCTGGATATCCTTCAACATCGGCTCCTTGAGCTATTCTCTGAACTTTTTCATTGAAGCCTGCCATATGTAGAACTTGGGTACTTCAACATACAGGAGTATTTGAGCAAACTCATCTTCCTGTGAAAGCTTAAAGAATGCAGTGAGAGTCGTATCAGCAGGATGTGCCATTTGATTTTGTAGAGACTCTTCTGTGAAGTATACTCTTTGTCCATTTTCCAGGTAAACAGCCAGATGAACTACTGTTGGACATCGTTCGTGTATGGGAAAACTAAAAATTCTCCATAGGGCTTCATTGCTGCATATATAACGGCCCTGCTGAAACTGTGTCACCTCAGCATGATTTCCATCCTTTTCCAATGCAAAGATCGCTTGGTCAGTGCCTTTGTTGACGTATCTGCAAACATACTTGATGGACTTGACTGAATTACTGAACTCCACATTGATGTGCGCATTGGATGCGTTATTCAAAAGAGGATTGTAGGGGACCACCCATATAACATATAACAACATCCATCATCACTACATATAACATCATCCATCATCACTATATATAACACCACCCATCATCACTACATATAACACCACCCATCATCACTACATATAACACCATCCATCATCACTACATATAACATCATCCATCATCACTACATATAACAACATCCATCATCACTCCATATAACACCATCCATCATCACTACATATAACAACATCCATCATCACTACATATAACACCGTCCATCATCACTATAGATCGGTAAAGTAGTTTCCATTATACATGGATCATGCACACCTACAGTGCACCTACAGACGCCACAAAACTCGATTTAATGAAGTGAGTTGAACTGAGACTTTGTAGACCTGTTGCAGATGTTGGCGATTTTTCTACTTGTGACGGGTGGCGCTGCTACCCTGGCCTTAGCCCACACTCCGGGCAGCTGCATGTACGAGGAAATCCTTGGTACTTGGATCTTCAGGGAGACAGAACGTACTGGTGATCACACCCTTGACTGCCAGGAACTCGGCACCATCGTCCACACCAAGACCTTTACCCTCAACTTTCCCGACACTGCCACGGATGAGCTCGGTAACCGCGGCAGCTGGACCATGATCGCCAATCAGGGCTTCGAGGTAAAGATAGACACCGTCAAAATATCTCTGTAAATATCACTTACAGGTGTGTGTAGCTGTCAAAATTTTAAGTGGTCCTACGTGCCATACTATCAACATCTAGTGTCCCTGTGTAGTTGATAATTAAGACAAACTTATAAAGTATTCATTACTATATTTTTTTTTGTCCTAACCCAATATTTCAACATATTTCACCATCAAGATGTATTTTTACAGTAACAAAAAGGGATCGGCAACGCAATCATTTTCAAAATCTAAAATACCTTAAAGAAGTTTATGTGTATTAAAAATCAGAAATAACTACTTCTTTACACTGATATGACATTGGCGTCACCTTATTGTGGTGTGTTGAGATTTAACTGGAATATAAAGTTTTCTTTGTCGTGTAGTTGTTATTATCAGCAAGTGCTTTTTGCTACTGTTGGCGTGTGTTTCTTGTTATTGTTGGCGTGTGGTTCTTGTTATTGTTGGCGTGTGGTTCTTGTTATTGTTGGCGTGTGGTTCTTGGTATTGTTGGCGTGTGGTTCTTGTTATTGTTGGCATGTGGTTCTTGTTACTGTTGGCATGTGGTTGTTATTGTAGTCGTTTTTTCGTTATTTTTGTTGTTTCCTACGCTGTTTTTGTTTGTGTTGTTCTTTTGTTGAGTATTTAGTTGTTTTTGCTGTTGGTGATGTGTTTTGTTTTTGTTTTGTCGTGTTTTTAATGTGTATAGTTGTTGTGTGTCTTGTTTTCGTAATTTGTTTGTTATTGTTGCCTTGTGTTTGCTGTCTTTGTGCTGTGGTTTTTGTTGTTTATGTTGTTACGTGGCTGTTCCTGTTGTCCTGTTATTGCTCTTTTTGTGTGGCTGTTGTTCCTGTCGTGTGGTTGCTGATGTGGTTTTTGTCATGTCGCCATTGTTCTTGTAACTTGCGGGTGGCAACAGTGGATGCCTTTTATCGATAATTATGAAAAAATTAACATGTGTTTGTGTCCCATGAGATAGTCTGAGTTTGTTCCCAGTGTGATATTTTTACCCCTTAGTCCATCCTACCCTATCTGACGCACGCCCACCCCTACCCCATCTCTCTCACGTCCACTCCACCCTATCTCTTTTTCACGCCTACCCCACCCCATTTCTCCCACGTCCACACCCACCCCATTTCTCCCACGTCCACCCCCACCCCATTTCACCCACGCCCACCCCCACCCCATTTTTCTCACGCCCACCCATTTCTTTCACGCCCATCCCCATCCCCTTTCTCTCATACCCACCCTCATTGAAACAAATAAGGTATTTATCACTTTCTTTATTTCTAAATTTGTTCTTAAATCTTTTTCTATTTCCTTTCTTATATATTTAACTTTTTCATATAGAGATTTAGGTGGAGGGGGGAATGTTTTTTACACTGAAGGTGTTATCACTTTTCACTACCCCGCAGGACAGAGGTTCTTACACAAAAGGAGATAATAGTATACAGTAGACCATATTCATGAGTGCTCTCACTGTTCACTACCATGCAGGACGGTGGTTCATATACAAAGGAGATAATATCATAGGTCACATGCATAGCACAGCACCGTGTCTCGCCTAAGCTTACCCCAAAAGACAAAGCTGGACAACAGTGATATAGATATACTGCTATGGCTAGCTTTAAGTAGGGTAGACTTCATGAAATACCCTTTAGGTGTTCCCAAATACTCAGTCCTGGCTAAAGAATGAAATCCTGGGCGAAAAGGACCAACAGAAACACCGAGGTAAATCTACATTACTTACACATATTTACAAATAAAAGGTATAAGACATAATATAAATGATTTTCCTACCTAATTGGGAGTTCAGAATAAGCACCATTTGTGTTAGCTCCTGTATAAATGTGGGTTAATTACATTAGACTTGTATAATTATCACCCCTTGTAATCCTCCATAGCTGTGAGGTTCATGTTCAGAGCACGTGATAAGGTGTGTCCACAGGGAGATGTATCACCTAGTGCTAAGTCAAGGCATAAGTGACCGGCTCCCTGGCTACCTGTTGCGGACAGTTTATACTCACGACTCACGAGAGGTAGACGTTATTACAGTGGGGAGTAAGACCAGGCACCTGTCCCTAACGTTCAACCGACGAAGCTTTGTTTTCCTATCGTAGTAGCTCTTCTGAGTGTGCTGGGCATTGATGAGTTCTTGTTTGGCCAACTCACATGTAGCTTGAAGACGGTCATCGAGGTCAATGACATAAGCGTAAGTGGTCTTTACTTCTGGGTCAGGGTGCCTGTCATCCCATAATTCACGCAATATATGTAAGGGTCCTCGAACAGTTCTTCCATTCAGTAATTCGAATGAGGAAAACTTAAGGGAAATCTGCAGAACCTCGCGAAACGTAAAAAGCAAGGGAGCAACGTAGCGAGGCCATTCCTTTGGTTGCTCAGCTGCCATCTTCAGCATTTTCTTTAGCGGTCCATTGAATCGCTCGCATAGTCCGTTGCAACTTGGGTGGTAGGGTGATGTGCGTAGTCCTTTTACCGACAGCAGATGGAATACTTCCTCCATCATGGTGGGGGTAAAATGACTACCTCTGTTGCTTAGCACTTGCTTGGGAATGCCAGTTCTGCAGAATATTTCCATCATTGCTTCAGCAATGGTTACAGCCTCAATATTCTTCAGCGGCAAGGCTTCGGCCCACCTTATGCTGAAGTCAATGAGTGTGAGGATATACTTTGACCCGGCACTTGTCCTAAGGTTGATGCGTTCCACAAGGTCAACGGCAACCCTTTCAAAAGGCTCAGAAATTACTGGCAGAGGCTGCACCGGACTAGGTCTCACTCGTTCACGATCGCTGGTTTTCTGGCAGATATCGCACGAACGCACGAGTCTCTCTATCTCCTTCCCCATGCCAGGCCAGAAAAATACTGCATGTATGCGATCAAGAGTTTTTTTTTGTATCCCATGTGACCACCGAGAGCAGCACAGTGACCCATCTTAAACACTTCCTTACGGTACAGTATTTAGCGGGAACCACAAACTGTAGACGTTCCTCCTAGTGTGGTGTCACAAACTCACGATACAAACGGTTCCTTTTCTTGACAAATCTTGTTCGGTTGCCATAAGAATTTCTAATGGTCCCTGCCAGTAAGTTCCTTCGTACCGCATTGAGCGTGGGGTCTGTCTCTTGTTCTCTCAGTACGTCTTGACAGTCCATGAGGTGGAACCAGTGGAATGGCATGTGGTTGTGTTCGAGTGACCTGTCGGGTCACGGCGGCAGCAGAAGTCTGGGTGGTCGCATCCATGAAACAGCTACTCCTAACCCCTTCAATGATCCCAATTATCACTTCAGAAATTGGCTCGGACGTAATTTCTGCATTAATCCAACCAGTGAAGAACGTGGGATTCCACGTGCACTCTTGCCTCAGGCACAGTTGTGATAGATCCATCAATCATCTTGACGTGAATCTGCCCATCGGTGAACTGATGGTTTAGTAACAAGGTCTTCTTCACCACGCAGCCTGAGGATCCGTTGTCCCTCATAAAACTGAGTACTTGGTTTCCCACATACTCAGGCTGGATAAGGAAGTTGGCATGCCAGTGACAAGAGTGTGTGGAGGCGGCTGGTTGTCAAAACTTGTGATGCCTCTGTTCTGTGTCATCCTAAGGTGGAGGTTGTCCCAAATGCTGCTTAACCAACCCCAAATCAGTTAAGCAGCCGCACCTGAATTGACAGGATGTGCCAGCGCGGCAGAGCCGAGCCAAGGATAACGGGGTTTTAGTTATCTGGATGGTGTACAGATCGTACGGAACTATTGACACTGGATGAACGATCGGACTAGGTGTAGGGCAAAAGGCATCCCATACAAGAAAGTGCTCATCAGAGTGGTAAAAAGATAAACCCTCGGCCCTGAAGATCAAAAATAGTTATGGACACAAAATCTACCAACAAATCATTCCTCACTGACTGGACAAAGTGTTGTCTTTGTCAACAGGATAAGAAGGAAGATCTTACGTCTCCACATGCAAATCCTGCCAAAAAAGGAGATGACGGTTACAAGAGTTTGGCGAGGAATCTTCCTCTATTTCATTCAATCAATGCACTGCCAATCAAGCTTGACCCTGTAAGATTTGTTGAAGGTGATGGGACAGAAGAGACCTTGAGGAGAAACAAGGCACAGTATCATGAGAGTTGCAGACTTCTGTTCAACAACACAAAGTTAAATAGAGCTCAGAAAAGGCGAACCTCTGCAGCTGCTACAGAGGAGAGCAGCACTAGCAAGATACCACGAAGGGTCAGAGACCCCAAAGCAACAGAATGCTTTCTATGTGAGGAAGAAGCTTCGGGAGATCACATAAGACATGCAATGGCAATGAAACTTAATAAAAGATTGAATGATTGTGCGAAGACACTTAGCGATGGAAAATTCCTTGACAAACTAAGTGCAGGAGATGTTGTGGCACAAGAATTGAAGTATCACCCTCGCTGCCTGGCAGAACTGTACAACCGAGAAAGAACACACCGAAATGCTCATGAGCAAGAAGAAGCACAAGAGCTCCATCCGAATAAGGATGCATACCCAACTGCTTTCTCTGAACTGGTCACTTACATCACTCAGATGAAAGCTTCTAGAGAAGGTACTGAACCACCCATTTTCAGACCTGCTGACCTGGTCACACTCTGCAGACAGAGACTTGAGCAGCTGGGTGTTGGATCGCCCGATGTTCATGCTAATCGACTGAAGGACCAGCTGCTTTTTCACATCCCCCAGCTACCAAGCTCATCACCAAGGAAGAGATATCCTACTGGCCTTTGAGAAGGATGTTGGCTCAATCCTGGCACAAGCAAGAGATACCATACACGTCTTCATACATGTCAGAAGTCACAGCTGGCTGAAAATTTTCAAGCACAAGTGAATGCTACAGAGAGAAAACCACATGGAGATGCTATCATCATATATGGCTCAGCACTGATAAATGCCCTGCCTCCACGCACCTCAAAGACTTTTGATGCCTATGCCAGAGAAGACATCCTGCCCAAAGT